TTGGGGGAAAAGAGATGGGGTTGCTCTCAAGGCTTAGAACTAATAAAAGAAAGTTCTTCACACAGCGCACAGTCAGCCTGTGGAACTCCTTGCCACAGGAGGCTGTGAAGGCTAGGACTATAACAGAGTTTAAAGAAAAGCTAGATAATTTCATGGAGGTTAGGTCCATTAGCCAGGGGATAGAAATGGTGTCCCTGGCCTCTGTTTGTCAGAGGCTGGAGAAGGATGACAGGAGACAAATCGCTTGATCATTGTCTTTGGTCCACCCGCTCTGGGGCACCTGGTGCTGGCCACTGTCAGCAGACAGGCTACTGGGCTAGATGGACCTTTGCTCTGACCCAGTATGGCCGTTCTTATGTTCTTAAGGCTGCCTAACAGACATAGGTGTGTGCGTGTCCTGTCCTGTGTGGAATGGATGGTTGTCAAGAAGCTAACGGAAACTGACCCAGATCAAGTTGGCCCGAGGCTCAGTGACTCCTGAGTTACTCATCTCACCTCCCAGGGGCAGACAATGCTTTCCAGTTGGGTGTCATCTGCAAACTTTGCAACAATTAGCACATGAGATGCGTGACTATGGGCTTTCTCCTTCTAGCTTTCCCTCCCCCTGCACTCTCTCAATGGACCTATGATATTAACTTTAGAACAACATGTCAGAACAACTCAGGAATTTCCATTAACCGAAAGGAAGAATATCTATACGTGTTCCTTAATGGCAGACTGCTGCATTGGGCTGCAGTAGGAGAGTTGCCAGCAGATCTACAGAAGTGATTATTCTCCTTTATTTGGTGCTGGTGAGGACACATCTGGAGTATTGTGTCCAGTTCTGGGCCCCCCACTATAGAAAGGATGTGGATTCATTGGAGAGGGTCCAGCAGAGGGCAACAAAAATTATGAGGGGGCTGGAGCACATGACCTACGAGGAGAGGCTGAGTGATTTGGGTTTGTTCAGTCTGCAGAAGAAAAAAGTGAGGGGGGATTTGAGAGCAGCCTGCAACTCCCTGAAGGGGGGTTCCAAAGAGGCTGGAGAGAGGCTGTTCTCAGTGGGGGCAGGTGGCAGAACAAGGAGCAATGGGCTCAAGTTCTGGAGGGGGAGGTCTAGGTTGGATATTAGGAAAAACCCTTTGCCTAGGCGGGTGGGGAAGCACTGGGATGGGTTCCCTAGGGAGGTGGTGGAATCTCCCTAGAGGTGTTTCAGTCTCGGCTTGACCAAGCCCTGGCTGGGTTGATTGAATTGGGGTTGGTCCTGTTTTGGGCAAGGGGCTAGACTCAATGACTCCTGAGGTCTCTTCCAGTCCTGATCTTCTATGGTTCTGTGATTGTATGGATGTATTTTCTTGAGTGAGCGACTCTTCCCTTGACTGACCCTAGAAGAGGCTCAGGGAGACCCACCAACCATGTGAGGAGGTCATGAGGTCTATACTAGATCGCGTCTGTCAGGCTGCGCATCGGTGAGTCCCTGTTGGGGGCAGCTGCAGCACCAAGAAGGTGGCCACCAAGGCTGGGGCTCTGCCATCTTACTTGCCAGCACACTGGTAGGGAGCCCCCCTCCGCCCCAAGCCCAGAGCCTGCAGGCCGTGGGGGAGGAGGCACTGGAGTGGGGGCAGCCCCAGTGCTGTCCCTCCACAGAGAACCCTCCCCAGACATCCTGCAAGGCAGCTGGAGGTGTGAGCCATCTCTGGATCCTGGCCCCTTGACCCACAGCCTGTTGGCCACAGGAGGGGCCGCTGGAGGACGAGGCAGCCCCTAGAGCCTCAGGACCACCAGACAACCATCAGGCCATGGAGGGGCCATTGAAGGTCAGCCCCAAAGCCACCCTCTCCCCAACAGTCTGCAGGACATTTTGGAGGCCGGCAGCAACACCTGAAGCCTGAACTCTGGCCTCACCTTGACCTCCACAACCTGCAGGCCACAGGGGGGGCCCCACTGGAGTCTGGGGATGAGCTCCAGAAGCAACGTCCCCTCACCCCTGCCAGATTACCTGCTTAGCACCACCCCCCTGAACGGCTGCAGATGGAGGCTGGGGCCAGCCTGCAGAGCCCCAACCTGACTGGATACTCCCTTCTAGGAGGAGCCTGCACTCTGGGTAGAGCAGTCCCAGCCCCTCAGGATGAGCCGCTGGCCAGGGACCATGGCACTGGATCACTGGGAGGAACCATCACCAAAGCAGCACCACCCATGCCATCAAGAGTGGCCCTGGTAAGCCCCCCTCGCTCCCAGCCCCCTGCCCTAACTCCTGCACCTCATACATCCTTGAACCCCGCATACCTTCCAACCCTCTGACCTAAGCCACCCACTCCCTGCCTCCCCTTCCCCCCAAAACCTTCATTTTCCAAAAAATACCATCACTGCAATGCAGCATGTACATTTTTCATTTATTTAAAATATGACTTCTGTTAACAACCCGAGCGTGTGACATCCCTTCTTTTTGCTGGACATCTGCTCTGGGAGTCACAGAACCTAGGCTACATGAACTGGCCAGGATAGAACTGTACCCAGCCTGCACTGTCCCCTGCAGAATCTCTGCAGAATAACATCCCTCCAACCAACCCCTTCCCTTTCCGTGTGACGGAGAACAATCCCATTCCAGGCGCTTCCTGTTTGCCTGGCACAACCGAACCCTGACACTGGTTTAATTAACGGGAAGAGGACGCTTCATACCAAATGTGGTGGCTCTAATTCTACCATTCAGATGTTCTGGAAAAGACAGTGGACCCACACATGGACAGACAGACAGAGACGGATGCATATTTCTAAACTGTATAGATAGATGATTCTCAGAATCAGGACTTCCTGACACCAATTGTAGGTTTTGCGTGTTGCTTACAATCCCTGCGTTTATTTAAAAGGTGAAAAATCGAAGAAGAGCTTTTCTCAAGGCTTCCTTTACCTCCTTGTTTCTGAGGCTGTAGATCAGCGGGTTGATCAGGGGGGTCAGGACCGCATAAAAAACAGAGCACACTTTGTGTAAATCCCTCAGCACATCAGAGTCCGAGAGGAGATAGACAATGACCAGGGACCCATAGAAAAGGGTCACCACGATGAGGTGGGAGGAACAGGTGGAAAAGGCCTTTTGCCTCCTGCTGGTGGATGGAATCCGCAGGATGGTGGCGATGATACACACGTAGGACGCCAGAGTCAAGAGAAATGGAGGGAATGTGAACACGGACGAATGTACAAAAGCCACAACCTCCAGCCAGTGAGTGTCACTGCAGGATACTTCAATGATTGGACTGAAATCACAAAAGAAATGGTCAATTTCATTTGGCCCACAGAATGTTAATTGTGACACAGGTATTAAGAAGGACACAGACACAAAGCCACCGAGCCACGACCCAACCACTAGCTGGAGGCACAACCGGCCGTTCATTAGCGCCGTGTAGTGCAGAGGTTTGCAAATGGCGAGGTACCGGTCATAGGACATCACGGAGAGGAGACAGCATTCTACGCCTGCCAAGCAACAAAAGAAATATAATTGCGTGATGCACCCAGTAACAGAAATAGTCCTGTCCCCCATCAGGAGACTGGCCAGCAGCCGGGGCAGGATGGTGGAGCTGTAGCAGGTCTCCAAGCAGGAGAGGTTCCCCAGGAAGAAATACATGGGGGTGTGGAGGTGCTGGTCGGCCACGACAAGCATGATGAGGAGGAGGTTCCCAGCCAGGGTCGCCATGTAGATCATGAAGAAGAAGAAGAAGAGAAAGGGCTGTAGTTGAGGGAGGTCCCCAAATCCCAGGAGGATGAACTCCGTGAAGGTTGTTTGATTCCCCAGGCCTTTCTTTGCCGTCGGTTTCATCTGTGGGAAAGAAAAACAAATTCTGCCCTGTAGAGTCCATCTTCCATTGCAAAACAGTCAGCATTTCTGGTACAACTTCTCTCTGTGGGTTGCCTCAGGACCCACTCGGTCAGCAGAGGTTTATAAAAGCTGGATTTCCACTTGGTGCACCCGCGGCAGCTGGAAATTGAAAGAGAACTTAGGTTAAAGGAACTGGCGGACCATGAGAAGGACCACTAGGACCAGACCAGGAACACTAGGACCATGAGATGGACTGCCAGGACTGTGAGAAGGACTATAATGAGGACCATCAGGACCAAGACAAGGACCATCAGGACCAAGAGAAGGACCGACATGACCGTGAGAAGGACCATGGGATGGAGTGGCAAGAAAGTGAGAAGGAACAAGAGGGCTGGGAGAGACCGTGGCAGCATGAGCAGGACATGGGGGAGCTGAGAGGCAGAGAGACCCCACCGAGGGCAGGTGCCATTGGACTCATGTGCCAGGCTGAAATCGACATTTATCACCCCGTGGGGCACTATGAGTTCCTGGTCTTGCCCTTTGGTCTCAGGGTGAAGGAGGGGACGGGGGCACCTGCCACGTTCTAGCGCCAGATGTACCAGCACTGAGGCGGATGGAGAGTTTGGCCCTGGCGTACATTGAAGATAATCCTGTCTTTAGCCAGACCTGGCAGGACCAAGTGCCCCAGGACTGCCATGTGCTGGGCCAGCTGCAGGAGGCCAGGCTGGCGATAAAGGCTGAGAAATGCAAGGTGGGGATGGCGGAGATGCCTTACATGGGCCATAAGGTGGGAAGCGGCAGCTTAAAGCCCGAGCTGTCCAAGGCAGATGGGACCAGAGACTGGGCAGTTCTCCAGACTAAGAAGCAGGTCCAGTCCTGCATTGGGATGGTGCTCCATCGCCGCCCCCATCACAGAGCTGTGTGAGAAAGGGGAGCCTGACAAGGTGGGCTGGACCGAGCCGGGCCGGGGGCTCTCTGTGCACTGAAGGAAGCCCTGGCCAGAGCTCTGGTGCTGGTGAAACGAGACTTTGACAAACCTTTCATGGTGCTCACTGACGGCTCGGACATGGGGCTGGGGCTAGTGTTAATGGTGCATGTGAGTTCTGTCCTACAGGAACCCCCCGTGTGTGCCACACGTTCCTGGGACACTGCACCAATAACTAAATGATGATAGTGACACTGAGGCAGCTCTACCACATGCATACACAGGGGCTGATGCCCCTCAGAACCTGAGCAGGGAGGGGGTGCTAAAAAGTGACATTCTGCCTGGAAACCAGGGCGAGGGTAGGAAGAAGGGCTTGTGGCCAGACTGCAGGGCATGGGAGCTAGTTTGGGGGCAGTTTGGGGTGCAGGGAGTGATCCCCGGTACTGGCTCTGGGCCCCCCTTTCCCAAGATGGATTGTACTCACTGCTTCTGAGTTTCTGTGCTGAAAAGTCTGTTCTGTGCTGTGTCCCAGTTGAATAATAATCCTTTTCTTCTACCAGCTGGCTGAGTCTCCTCTTCCTGCGTATGGGGGTGCAGGACTGGTGACTCCCCACACTTCAGTGATGCTGGTGGCAGCGGTGGGATACACTGCACCCCATGGACAGAGCATCCGGCAGCAAGTGACAGTTGGTAACTGGTTAAAAGATAGGAAACAAAGGGTAGGAATAAATGGTCAGCCGTGTTAGTCTGAGCTTGCTCAAACAAAAGGAAAAACGATGTAGCACTTTAAAGAATAAGAAGATGGTTTAATAAGTGATTAGCTTTTGTGGGCCAGACCCACTTCCGCAAATGTAGGTCTGGCCCACGAAAGCTGATCACCTATTAAACCATCTTCTTAGTCTTTAAAGTGCTACATAGTTTTTCCGTTTGTTTTAGGTCAGTTTTTGGAATAGAAAGAGGTAAATAGTGGTATCTCCCGGGACTCAATACTGGGGCGAGGGCTTTTCAGCACACTCATGCATGATCAGGAGAAAGGGGTTAACAGGGAAGTGGCAAAATTTGCTAATGATACAAAATTATTCAAGATACGAAAGTTCAAAGCAGAATGCAGAGGATACAGAGAGCTATAACAACCCCGAGTTGTGAGGCAACACAATGACGGATGAAATTCAGTGTTGGAAAATTCAGTGTTGTGCACAGTGGAAAACATAATCCCGACCATACTTGGACAATAATGGAGACGGAGTTAGCTATTACCATGCACGAGAGAGATCTTCGAGTCACCATGGACACTTCTCTGAAAACAGTCACTCGATGTACTGAGACCGTCAAACACACAAATAGACTGTTGTGAGTCATTAAGAAAGGGATAGAAAATAAGACAGAGACTATCATATTGCCTCTCTACATCTGTGCTATGCCCACATCTTGAATACTGTGTTCAGATGTGACAGCTCCATTTCCAAAAAGATCTCTTGACATAGAAAAAGGTTTAGAAAAGAGCCACAAAAATGATTAAGGGAGCAAGATGGTTTCTGTGTGAGGAGAGGTTAAAAAGACTTGGACTTCTCAGCTTGGAAATGACATGGTAGAAGTCTATAAAACCATGTGGAGAAAGTGAAGAAGGAAGTGTTTTTTACTCCTTCCCCCAATGCAAGAACTAGGGCTCACCAAATGAAATTAACAGTCACTAACCCGTCGAGAAGATAATTAACCCATTTTAGAATTATGACCTCATACAGAGTGCAGTAGGTGAGGGTTGTGAAATGCTGAAAGATATTTTCAGGGGTGTATTTGTCTAATAGCCACAGAGAGAAACTTTGCATGGGAAAAATGGGGCAGGCTCGGCCGAAGTTCCAAACCATGCTCAAAACTGACTTGGTGAAATTCGCTCTAATAAGATCCCCGGATGGTGACTCCATGTGTCATTCTGTAGCTTGCAAACTCCAAAGGAATCCCGCGCAAGGTGGGGACCGGAACAAAGAGCAGAGGAAGAGGACAGAAGAACAGCTCAGACACATAGGGACCACATCTGAAATGCTGAGGCACACAATGCAGGATGCAACAGGAGACACAAAACCCAATGAGCCAAGGAATGACATTTGCTAGGGGCATGAAAAAAGGGAACATCCAGAAGGGTGACAAATCAACACAACCGCCTACACAATAAAACAATTCTCTCACACAAATTCCAATAGCACCCCCCCCCAGATCAACCTATATCAGTCAGTGTAAGACAACCCTCACCCCTATCGTACCTCTCATGCCTCACCTCAGTCAGCCCTCAGAAACCCTCTAGCCGCTGCCAGTCCCCAACGAGAACACACATCCCTTGTGCACCACACACAGGAATCCGCACACATGTCCCAGCGCAGCTCAATCCACACAGAAACCAACACAGACAGACAACGGAGCCAGCACCCACAAACCCCAGCCAGCACCCTGAGCACCAGAACATCCACCAATAGTGAAAGCTCATTCTCGTGAGCATGGCCCCGGTTTCACAATCACTGGGATTCACAGCCTTTTGCTGGCTACTTTGTAAGTTGTTGACTCTTCTGGGTCTTTGTAACACAGCTGAGTTCCCAAATGACCTGGCCAACAGGACAGTGAAAGAGCAGGGACGATGCGAAAACAGAAGGACCTTGCACATTCGGAAAGGTTAGGTGTAACTTTCAAAAACCATCCATGAATCCCTGGGATGTGGCTCTCATACCCTGTCCCTGCCCACCTTCCTCCCTCCCACTCCCCCATCCAGATCCTCCACCGTCTGTTCTTCTCCCTTTCCTCCACTTCCCGAAGATTAGCAAATTTACACACTTACTAACGACTTACAGTACCTTAGGTAATACGAGAAATCAAATGGAGATTTCCACATCTTGAGGAGTTAATTAGGAAACAATTCTGCTCCGACTTACTGCAGAATAAATCAGGAATAGCTGGGCTGCAGCCAATATTGATGCACGGCTTGAAAACGGGGTACGTGAGAGGAGAGGGACACCGAAAGAGATAGAGGTGTCGTCGTCTTCTTTGTCTTCGTCTTGTGTTTAATGTCCCAATATAAATTCCTGCCCAATACACAGATTACCTCCCTCCCAGCTCTGTTCCCCGGGTGCCGGGTGGCAGTCACCTCTATATGCTTCAGTGGCCGCATGGGATTGGTTCCCAAAGAGAACCTACAATCAATGTTGCCAGGCAACCTCATCCACCATGGTAACACATGGGAAAGTGATCTTCCAGACAACCCAAGGTGGAGTCTTACGTCGGGGAGAGGGATGGTTTGGGAGCAGATGGGTGTGGGACAGCAGAGACCGAGCAGGCTGCTCTTGGCATGGAGCTGCTGACAGGCCCCATGTGTTGGTAGTCCTCCGGGCTCTGCTTTGCCGGGACTCAGTGGTAGCATGGAGGCCTGGCGCTGCCGTGTGAGGTGGACATGAGGGAAGCCAGCCAGGGAAGCCAGCCAGGGGCCCCGTGGTGAGAAGTGACTCTCCATCACCTTCATGTCCCATTGCGTAGCACACGTATTCCCCCTGTATCTCCTCCAGCTTTGATGGCATGAGACCTTCATCAGCCCTTTCCTATTCCCCCTTTCCGCTGTTATCGGCTCTACCTCACTCTTCTGCATGCTGGGGAGAAGGCAGATAATTCCTCACCCTCTTCTGCATCTGGACTGCCAGCTGTTTTGACACTGCCATAACTGTTTTAATGTTTTGGTATAAATGAACCAAATGGCCATGGGCCACTATGTTTCAAAACTCGTGGCAGTTGGGGGAGGTGTCTGATGATTGGAAAAAGGCAAATGTAAAAAAGGGAAGAATGATCCAGGGAACTAGACTGGTCAGCCTCACCTCAGTCCCCAGAAAAATCATGGAGGGGATCCTCAAGGAATCCATTTTGAAGGACTTGGAAGGGGGGAAAGTGATAAGGAATAGTCAAGGCCAACCTGATTAACTTCTATGACGTGATACTGGCTCTGTGGCTACAGGGAGGTCAGTGGATGTGATATACCTTGACTTTAGCAACGCTTTTGATACGGTATCCCACAATACAGCCAGTCCCCGAGTTGTGAACGGTTGAGTTACGACTGTTTGCATTTATGACCAAAGTGGTCGTAAATGTGGTCCCTGAGTTACGAACGCGATCCGCGCTTACAAACAGCGCAGTCGCCATGTAACTCAATGTGGTCCGAGTTGCGAACATTT